TGTTGTTGTTGTTGTTCCATCAAGTCACCTGCGACTCATAGCAATCCACCCTATGTACAACAACCCTAAACCCTGCTTCTTCCTGAGTCAATTTCACTGTCTCTAACACACCTACCCCAATTACCCAATCACTGAATCAATCCACCTCATAGAGGGTCTTCCTCTCCTGTGCCATCCCTCTATGCTCCCAAGCATCCCTCTCCAAGGATTGGTTCCTCCATGCAACATGTCCAAAGTATGTCAGACAAAGCTTCCGAATCTTAGCCTCCAAGGAGCATCCTGGTTTAACCCTCTCCTGGATGAACCTGTTCATTTTCTTAGCAGTCCATGGTATATTCACAAAATCCTATGCAGACTCTACTGTCAAATCAGAACTGACTCATCACTGACAGAAGTAGTAAAACACATAGTAGGTTATCTCCCATCTTTTTTCTGGGGAGCAGCTGGTGGATTAGAACTCTCAGCTTTGGTAACATAATGCTGAGAAGATGTGCTGTTAACCCAAAGTGAAATGTTTGAATCTAACTCCTGAGGGAGAGAGATGGGCAAACTCCTCATGTATGGTTTACCCTGAGGGTCCTGTTATGAATCGATTCTGACTTGATGACAACAACAACAACAACCACTACCTTTGGGTTGATGCATTTGAACTGCCTGCCATTGGACAATAGAAATCCTTACCCTCTAGGCTATCATAGCTTTCTTCTTTGGGAAACACATTATAAAACTAGGTATTTTTTTGTTAAGCCCAGGATATAAATGCCCTCAACTTGCCATGAGGAGCTGTGGTGGCATTGTGGTTACTAACATTGTGGCCTGATAGTTCAAAATTACCCGCTGTTCCATGAGAGAAAGAGATGCATTTGCCACCTAGAAGTTCATCCTCCTTCAGGGTCCCTCAGAAACCTGATGAGCAAGTTTGGTGGTGTTGCGTTGACTTGTCTTGGTTCTAACTTTCCTCCACAATTGAAGATTACAGAGGCAGGATTTGTCATAGCAGCAGAGGATATGAGAATTCTCCCCGAAGGAGATGTTCGTGACTTCTACAGTTTGATGGCAGATGAGGTAAGAAAGTAGAAAGAAACAAAAATCTATTGTGGTTTTGAAAATAAAAGTGGGTTACCAGAAGCTGTAAGCCATCAAAACTCCCTACTATGAGATTTAGATCCTCTAGATAGAAAACTGTTAAGTCTAACCAACTGAATAAGTTTTCTTTGTTGGTATCAATATCATAGTGATTACAGGGTGACAGCTATTAGGACATCTCCAGTAGGAAGGTAGTGACAACAGAATATGACTGAATGATCTGATTTTGTATGTTAATATGAAGATCTCTCTATTCCATGAACTTTTAGTGGATTTTCAGAGGCAGTAAATTGCTTGGGAAGAGATTGCCTATACTTACCACACAAAGCAGCTGGTTGAGTTGAACTATTTAGAATTGCAGCACAGCTTCTTACCACTAGGTCACCAAAGCAATTCCTTAGTGATAAGGAATTATGCTGCCAATCCAAAGGTATACTGTTTTAATCCACCAGCTGCTCAATGGGAGAAAGATGGTCAATCTCCTCCCTGTGATTTGTTGTTGTTGTTGTTATGCACCATTGAATTGACTATGAATCATAGCGACCCTATGCACAATAGCTCTGAATCTTGCTCTGTGCTGAGCAAGTCTCACTATTTCTGGCATATCTAACCTTATTACCCCAGTTTTTGTGTCAATTCATCTCAACAGGGGTCTTCCTTTCTTGTGTTGTCCCTCAAGCCTTCCAAGCATATCCTTCTCCAAAGACTGATTCCTCCCAGCTGCAAGCCCATTGTATGTGAAACAGAGTTTCAAAATACTTTCCTCTAAGGAGCAGCTTGATTTCACTCTCTTCAGAATAGACCTGTTAGCTTTCTTGGTATGCTCATTACTCTTCTCCAGCACCACAACTCAAAGGTGTCGATTCTTCTTCTGTCATCCTTGGTCACAGTCCAGCTCTCTGATGCATAGCAAGTAACTTTGGAGACCATGCCTTGAATCAGGTGCACCTCAGTCTCTAGACTGACATCCATGCTCTTCAGCACTCTGGAGAGATCCCTCGCAACAGATTTTCCTAATGCAATTAATCTTTTGATTTTCTGACTGCTTGTGTGAAAAGCGTTGTTTGTTGAGCGGAGCAAGCTGAAATGAACAATCTCAATCTCTCCTCCATCTATCATGATGCTGTGAATGGGACCAGTGGTGAGAATTTTCTTTTTCTTGATGTTGAACTTCAATCCATATTGCAAACTACAGTCCTTGATGCCCTGCAGCAAATGCTTTAGGCCCTCCTCAGTTTCAGCAAGTAAGGTTGTGTCATCTGTATAACATTGGTTGTTAATGAGTCTTACTCCAATTCTGATGCCAAATTCTTCCTCATAAATTTCAGCCTCCTGAAGGATCTGTTCTGCTTACAGATTGAAAAGGTATGGAGACAGGACATATTCCTGATGCACTCCTTTTCTGATTGTGAACAAAGCAGTGTTTCCTTGTTCTGTTCTGACAATTGCCTCCTAGTCCAAGTATAAGTTTCTCATGAGCACAATCAGATGTTCTGGGATCCCCATTCTTCTCAAGATTAGGCACAGTTTGTTGTGATCCACATAGTCAAATGCCTTTGCATAGTCAATGAAATACAGTTAGAGATTCTTCTGGTACTCTCTACTTTAGACCAGCTTGCATTTCTGGTAGTTCAATCACTTTTGGATAATCTTCAGCAGGATTTCGCTTGTGATATTATCAGTGATATCATTTTATAATTTCTACACTTTGTTGGACCACCATTTTTTTGGAATGGGAATAGCTATGATCTCTTCCAGTCAGTTGGCTAGGTGGTTTTCCTTCAGTTTTCTTGGCACAGCCTGCTGAGCACTTCTGGGGCTGCCTCTGCTTGTTGAAATATGTCAATTGGCATTCTATCAATTCTTGGGACTTTTCCCCCCAATTCCTTCAGAGCACCTTGAACTTCCTCCTTCATCAACTATGAAAATCCTTGGGAGAGTCAGTTAGACTTCAGCTCTGACTAGACAATGCTCAACAACAACTCCTTCCATGAGAGTTACAGTTTTGGAAACCCAAAAGTAGGTTAACTATGTGTCAGTTTTGCTTTAGCAGCAGTGAGTGAGTTTTACAGTTACATGTGGGGCACTTTGTGGGATAGCCAATAAGTAGTTACTCCGTTAATTTAAAGGCCACCCTTCTCTAGAGGTTAAAATCTACCAGCAACTATAAGGAAGAAAGATGGGCAATTTCCTGCCATGCTGTTTACACTCTCTGAAACCCAATAAAGGAACAGAGGATGAGCTTTGAGTTGATTCTGGCTTGATGACAAAGAGTTTGCGGGAGGGATTTCTATCTATCTATCTATCTATCTATCTATCTATCATCTATCTATCTATCCATGTGTAGCTACTGTATTATAGAGTTCAGAGAATAATCATTATACCAGAAAGCTTTACTGGTCAGTAATTTCTAGAACTAATTTCATAACTCACAATAGTTTCTCTGGCCAGGGCCCTGCTGAGACTTTTCATATCCACCCCAGTTATACTGAATGAGAATTTACACATTAGTAAGATCCCCAGATCGGTAAGAATAATCTGGAAATCATGTAAAAGCATGATATACTTATTAAGATATACTTATTAAGTATATCTAAGGTGAAAGTGAAAATTTCAGTAGGTGTTCAAACCAGAATGAGCCAATTCAAAGCCCTACTCCTCCACACATGTAAACAAAAAATGTTGAATCCGCTGAATCAGTCATTGCGGAGCACTCTAGAAAATGTAATTCCTAAGCCTCACCATAGATCAATGGAGTCAGAAATCCTAGGATTGGTTTTAGTAAAAATACCTGATATTTGTTTAGTTTTTAACAGTCTTTCAGATTTCTGCTCTTTGTGAACATTTACTCTTCAAATATTTGTTTATTAACAAGAAACTTATTAAGGTCATAGTCTCTTACCAAGTGGTCAGTAAGGGGTACATTGGCGTGGTAGTGCTGTCATTTTAGTTCATCCAGTTGAGACAACTAAAGTAAACAATTTATCATTTTTACTTTGTAGCCTGACTTTGAAGACTTTGTCTCATTTATGACATCTGGCATAAGTTATCTTCTAGCTTTCTCTCAGGGAAATAAAAAACAAGAAGTCTTTGAAGAACCTGAATCTGAACCAGAGAGTCTTCCTCAAGAATCACCTGAAGATGATTCTGATGTCAAAGATGTGAACAAATCTCTAGAGATGAAGACGTGGAGCAGGTAACTCAAAACCAGGAAACTGTGCATTTGCAATATTCTAATGAAATTCATTGTGCAAATACCTCAAAAATCTAAGGCCAAAGACTTTTTATGATAAAGCCACAGGTATTTTCTTCTATCTACATTCTGGTGATCAGCCCAAAGATAAGCAGTTCAAATCCACCAGCTGTTGCAGAAGGATGGGCAGTCTTCTCTTGTGAAATTTATGGCCTCTGGAAACCCACTGGAGGATCAGTTAGGAGTCATTTCCAACTGGATGGTAATGAGAGTTTGAAGGCTGGAATTGTCCTGATTGTTGATGTCAAAAGGAAAACTCATAGATGACCTTACAGCGAGTTTTTAGAGGCAGTATATCACACGTGAAAGTGACTCTAATAAGCCAAAGATAGGTGACTTTAATTCATGGTCCTTGGGACTTGTTTTAATTGGTTTTGGTCTTCTAGGTCATATAGCACTGGTCTGTCCACTTGCTGGACAGAGGTAACTCGTGGTTGCTGTGATGCTGAACACTTTGACACTGATGTGTCCAATGCGATAATGGTTACCCGTGTGGACAGTGATTGGTGGAGTTCCTCGATTAAAACAAGCTTGGAAGCAGGAGTGGTATCCACTTCTAAAACAGCTTGCCCCCAGAAACCCTATGCACCAGGAGAAATGATGAAAGTTATACAAGTGTTCAGGTCTTTCGTTCATAGGGTTGCTATGAGTCACCTATGACTCAATGGCATTTAACAACAGCAATAACAAATATCACATGCAGGAAAAAAGATTGTCCATCTGCCTTCTGCAGAGCAACTGGTGGATTCAGACCAAGTCTCTTGACAAATGCCTTTGAGTTGGCAGTGCAATTCCTTCGCACTAGGCCACCAGAGCTCCCTACTTGAAAACGAGTATTAGTAATTTTTATAATGTTAGTTTTAGGTGTTGTCATTTCTATCTTTATTTCTCTGAAGATTCAGAATAGAAAAAATCTTTGACACAGAGTTGTCAGAGTTATGACTGAAATAAAGTGTGTGAACAGAAATTTAGAGTGCCTGTGACTTGTGACTTCAGGATTTGTGTCTCCTCCAGGTCGACAACCAATTCTAATGCTTATTCTTGTTGATAACTTTCAGAACATTCCCAGTTGTACTACTAATGGACTATAGTGGCTGTTATTGGGTAGAGGCATCTACTGGTTTCTGGAGCTGTCATGTTTTCTAGATAGCAGGAAGGCCTTAATTCCAAGTATTAAACAACTCATGTTGATCCCAAATATGTCATAGTAGAACTCTCATCCATTGGATTTTAAGAAACTGATTTTTTATTTTTAAGTAAATTGCAAGTTCTCCTCCTACCCCACCCCTGTCCCCTGATGAATTCAAATCCACAACACTCTAATTCGCAATTAAAGCCCTTATTTATTTTTGCCACTCAGAAAAGCAACTTCCAACAAAGGCTTGCATACAGTTATTTTCAGGATTTTGAGAGAGAAGTTATAATGAGCCAAGGGGGGAGAAGTTTTTGTGGGAAAAGCTTGGCTTAAAAATAACAAATTTTATTACAGAACAGTTGAAATAAAAAAAAAACAAACCAACAACAAAACACCCAGGTCTTTGAAACACTTACTAGTGTTTCTTATTATTGTTATTGTTGTTGTTGTTAGATGCCATCAAGTCATGTAAGATCCTTAGGAATCCTGTAAACAGATCTGAATCTTGTCCTATTCTGTGCCATCCTCACAAGTTTCTGACACACTCGGGCCCAATTCCTGCTGTCACTCTATAAGTCATTCTGGTTGACAGTCTTCCTCTCTTTTACCACCTTCCCAAACATGATGTCCCTCTTCAAGGAATAGCCTCTCCTAGCAACACACCTGAAGTATGTGAGACAAATATTAGTGCTAGTATAGCAAAAGGGATGTCACCAGTATGCTGATGCCGTTTTTTCTGGCAAAAAGATTTATTTCAGTTCAATTTTTAAACTATTACTTTTCTTTTCAATACCCACAATAATTACATAAATAGGTTAGGCATTTTAATTGACAAACTTATGGTGGAATGAAATGTGTATATCTTATTTTGGCAAAATCTGTAGAATTACTTCACAGATGTGAAAAACCAAACCGACTTCTGTCCAGATTCCTATATAGTCTGACATAATTTAGGCATGTTACAAGGTGGACCAGTCCTTGGAGAGGGAAATCATTCTTGGAAGGGCGGAAGGACATCCCAAGAGAGGAAGACCTTCAGTGAAATGGATTGATTCAGTGACTGGGGAATTGGAGGCTGGTGTGTCAGAGACAAGGTTGGCACAGGATAGAGCAAGTTTCAGAGTAACTATGAGCTGCAAATGACTCAATGGCACATAACAACAACAACCCCTCCTGACAAGTCATTTTTGGCTCAAAGCAAGCCTATAGCAAGCGACTCAATGGCACATAAGAACAATCACTCCTGTCAAGCCACTTCTGGCTCATAACAAGCCTATAAGATAAAGTTGTTGTTGTGTACCATCTAGTTGAAACTGACTTATTGCCAGCCCTACTACACAATCTCCTCTCAGAAAGATTTACACTTTCTGAAACCTGATTTGATGGCAATTAGTTTGTGTTTCATATCCAGTAATAACAGTAATGAGGGGCCCTGATTAGTTGTTATGTTCCATGCTTGAATACTAACTTAAGTTCCAACAGTTTGAATTCATCAACCACTCTGTAGGTTCCAAGTGCGAAGTCTACTCCCATTAAGAGTTATACTCTTTTAAACTTGATGTTGCTATTTTAAACTAGTGTTACTGTTAGGTGAATTCTATAGGAGTGGTTTAGGTTTTGGTATGGGAATGAAAAAAATATATTCTAATAACTCTTGTTGTTGAGTGTCGTCGAGTTGTAGATGACTCATAGTGACCCTATGAACAAAAGACTTGAACACTTGTATAACTTTCATTGTTTCTCCACATTCATAGAGTTTCCACAGTCAAGCTGTTTCCGGAAGGATGCCGTTCCTGCTTCCAAGCTTGATTTAATTAGGCAGCTCTACCAAACACTGTCCACCATGGGTAACCATTATCACATCTGACACATCGGTGTCACAGTGTTAGCATCACAGCAACCACAAATTCCAATAATTACATGTAATAAATTACATATATGATGTACAAATATATTTATATATACATTAAGTACCTCTAATTAAAAAAAATGAGATGTTATTTCAGTTTTACAAAGCGTGGAGAAATGGGTTTTTTTCATGCACTACATTCATGCGAATGTTCAATGGTGCCAACCACTACAGAAAGTGTTTTGGTGTTTCCTTAGAAAGTTGAAAATGGGAATACCATTTAATATAACAATCTCACTATTATGTATATATCCTAAAGAATTAAGAACTCTTACATGAACAGTTATCTGTATGCCCATGTTTACTGAACAATATTTATAGTAACAAAGAGACAGAAACAATTCTAGAGCACAACAGTGGATAAATGGTTATAGAAATTAGGTATATTCATGCGATGGAATATTATGCAGCACTAAAGAATTATTGAAATACTTCACAACGTGGGTGAATCTCAAGGATATTTTGCTAAGTGAGAGAATCAAACTATTTTTTGTCAACTCAGAAAAAACTCATAGTTGAACCTTAAACTTGTTTAAATAGGCAGTAAATTCCACAGGAGGAGATTGCTCATCTTTCTTTTGAGGAACAGCGAATGGATTTGATCTGCTCACCTTTAGGTTGGCAGCTCAATGTTCCAGTCACTAAGCCATTCTGAGCTCCAAAAGTCAGTTCCAAGAGGGCAAATATTGTACAAAAACATTATTATAAAAAGATAAAGAGAAGTTTGCATAAATACAGGAGAATTCATTTTTATAATATAAAACTTGTTAATTAATTTTAATGAAAGTTTACACAGACTTAAGGTTTTCATTCATTTATTGTTGCACTTTTCTGCCTGCCCACCTATCCTCCCCTATTTGCTCTTCTCTTTGAAAAGTAAAAGAATAATTCTTTCATTGTTATACTATCCCTCCCCCCAAGTCCACTCCATTGTGTAATGTCCTCCAGGGTCAACCATTTTGTATAATATTTCATGAGTTCCTTGTTTTTCAATGCAACATAGTATTCCGTTGTGTGAATATGCCAGAACTTCTCTATCCATTCGTTTGTTGATGGGCAATTGGATTGTTTCCAGTTCTTTGCTATTGTGAACAAAACTGAAATAAACATGGGTGTGCATATATCTGCTTGGGTGGCAGTTTGGTTTCTTTAGGGTATATTCCTAGTAGTGGAATTGCTGGGTCAAATGGTGTTTCTATTTGCAACTTTTTGATAAATCACCATACTGCCTTCCATAGTGGTTGCACCATTTTACACTTCCACCAACAGTGAATAAGGGTTTCATTTTCTCCACAACCTTGCCAACATTTGATGTTTGCTGTTCTGTTAAATTTTGCTATTCTTACTGGGCTGAGATTATATCTCATAGTTGTTTTTACAATATAAACTTTTTCTTTTATACTGGTTTACTTAAAAAGTTATACATCGTTTTTCACATAGGTGTACAAGTCTCCTTTTTTTGTCCCAGTTTTCATTTTCTTAGGGTATATTCCAATCAGAGGAATATCTGGGTAGTATGGAGTTTCTATGTTCAACTTTTTGAGGAAATGCCAAGCTGCTTTCCAAAGTGGTACTAGTTTACAATCTCACCAACAGTGTATAAGAGTTCCTGTTCCCAATATCCTCTCCAGCATTTATTACTTGCTATCCTGCTATTCTTACTTTGCCACTACTACTGGGGTGAAATGGTATCTTATTATTGTTTTGATTTGCATCACTATTATTGCTCTCTTACTCTAACTTTGAGCATTTCTTCAACTGTATGTTGGCCAACTGAGTATTTTCCTCTGTGAAAATTCTTTCCATATCCATATCTTTTGCCTTGTGTTATCAGTCTTTTTTTTTTCTTGTGGAGGCACTGTAGGAATCTATAAACTCTTGAAATGAGAC